AAGACAAAAATAAGCAAAACCACCCAATAAAAAAAAACAAACAAAAAAACCAAACCCAAGACAATTTGTAATTTGTTATCAGCTTTGTAACTTTTTGGTTTTTAATCTATTTTTCTTGGCCAGTTTCTTGTTTGGCATTTGCTGGATGCAGCCTGTCTTTCTAAGAGAAGCATTTGGATGCCTCTCGGGAGACAGCAGGGCATTTCCACAGGGCTTCCCCTTCAGTGAAAATGAGTCATGACTTGCTCCCTAGCCACGAGATCCTCTGCCAGGTTTTTGGCCTTATATCAGAGATAAATATTTTGTGAAAGGGTTTACTTGTCATATTTGCCCCTGCTGCTGACTTGACCATTTTTACATACCCACACGATCCATGACAGGGAGCCCAGGGCATGGAAGTGCTCAGGTAGATGATGCCTTTGAGAGGACATTCCCCTCTGACTGGGCAGATCAGTGCCAAGGGTGATATGGCCAATAATGGCTTGGTCAGAGTTATGAGACTTTACTCAGGAAAGGCTTTCTTCCTGATTCAGTTATATACTTGAAACTCCCTTGGGATTCACTAGGAACGTGAATGGAGTTGCTGAGTTGGTGGGACAGAGCACAGCTTGGTCACAGCTTAGAGATGGTTTTGAGGCACTTTTCCAATTATGATCCCCATAAAATTATGCACCAGGGTAAGTGTTCTGAAATGTCACTTTTGGGTTGATATTTAGTGTCAATTAACTTCCTTTTCTTAATTACTCCCTGGGAATCCCTCAAAATAGTCTGCTGAGCCTTGGGGAAAAGCAGTGACTCTAGTATCTGTATGGTTTATAGTGTTAAACTATAAAACCTTTCTTTGGGAAGTTCCCACTTGAATACAAATTAAAAATATATGAATGTGTGCTTGCACCCATTTGTAACTATTCTACCATAGTAGTACCTGCTTGTTCATGTCTAATTAGGAAGATGCAAGTTTATAAACACTCTACATGAAAATCTCAAATTGCCCTGTGAGTTAATGGGAAGTCTCAGCTCAACCTTAGCTATGGGGAGGTGATCAGTTACCCACAGAAATGGGTAATTAGATTCCAGAGACTCTCTGAAGACTTAGAGCCAGCTGCAAATGGAAGACACCAAAAAAGTTTGCGTTTTTCAGCTGTCAAAAATGTTCATTCCTAGAGTAAACATTTACATTTTGGATAACAGCTATCTCATGAAACAAATTTGTATTGCCAGGCCGTCTGACAGTAACAAGGGAGGTGGGCCTGTTGGGATGAGTCCAGAGTGACAAAGATGTTCCGAGGTCGGGAGCCCCTCTGCTCTGGAGCCAGGCTGAGAGAGCTGGGGGGGTTCACCTGGAGAAGACAAGGCTCCAGGAAGACCTCAGAGCCTCTTCCAGGGCCTAAAGGGGCTCCAGGAGAGCTGGAGAGGGACCTGGGACAAGGGCCTGGAGTGACAGGACAGTGGGAATAGCTTCCCACAGACAGAGTACAGGGTTAGATGGGATATTGGGAAGAAATTCCTCCCTGTGAGGGTGGTGAAGCCCTGGTACAGGTTACCCAGAGAAGCTGTGGCTGCCCCTGGATCCCCGGAAGTGTCCAAGGCCAGGTCGGATGGGGCTTGGGGCAACCTGGGATAGTGGAAGGTGTCCCTGCCCATGGCAGGAGGGGAGGAATGAGGTGGTATTTAAGGTTGCTTCCAATCCAAAACATTCCAGCATCCCATGAAGGAATATAATACATTTTTCTAGTGTTTTCATTTGTAAGTGAAGAAGACTGTTATCTTTAAGACAACCTACCATTGTGATTTCAGCATCTGTCCAGGTGATGTTTGGTGTTGCTGTTGCAGGCTGAATGACAGTGGTAGGGAAGAAGAGGTTGTGTGGTCCTGATGCAGCCAGATAGAGGGTCAAGGCCAAGTTGAAAGGCAAGGTGAGAACAGGCAGGTCCCACTTACAGAAGACTGAAGCTAAAGCACTGGTGAAAATAGGGCTGAAAGAAGAATAAAGTGGTCTCACTGGTCAGCTAGGCAAAAAACCTGCCAGAACCAAATCTGACCATAAACCCAACTGCAGCAAATGTAGGCTATTTACTTTAAAGCTGTTTAATTCCTCAGTCTTTCTGATCAAATCAGACACGTGGTAAGAGTAACTCCATAAATTTCCTACCCTTTCCCAGGCAGTTATAAATGTCCAGATTCCTGTCACGTTATATAATATATATGGCGAATTTGGTGAGCATGAAGGAGACAGGATCCAGTGATTTAATAGAGGTATTCCCCAGCTCAGTCCCAGTGTTCACCTTTTTTTTTTTCCTTCAGCACTTGAACTGGACTGAATACAGGACACCTTTGCCAGGTCTGAGTGAACTGTGAATGTGGCCGTGTGCCCTTGCTCAAGCTTGTGGATCAGAAGTAAAAGCTGACACCAAAGTGATTGTAACACTACATGAACTTCAGGCAGACAAATTATATGTGTGGTTTCAGCAATCTGCAACTGGACATTTCGGGGTCAAAGACCAGAATTTTTTTGCTGCCCAAATGCCTAGCGGATTATTGTGTCATATATATGAGTAAAGTATTATTAGTTGTTTGTTTTGATTAGCGTCAACCACTGTGTCTTGGGACCACTGAACAGCTTCTGTGCCTGGAGAAGTAAATTTTCATGACAATTTTATATGGTGGCTTAAATAGATGAAACACTTGTGGTTGATGACAATAGGGAATGGCGAAAATAATGTTCCTCTTGAAACAAAAATGAATTGACTCATCAGAGCAATATGACTCACATTTAGAGTATTGAATTACGTGTGATCAGCCATCGATTTTCCTTCTCCCCACTGGGCTTATTTGTGATTATGTGGGTATTTTTATTTGTTTCTGGATTACATTTGAGTTCAAAAGTGCAAATAACGACGCGGATTTAGCAGTGTGTTAGTCGTATTTCCTTTCCATTGGACTGTGCATGGAAATACAATAGCTCAGTCTCAGCGTGGGGACACTGGGGTCGGAAAAAGAAGCAGAGGGGCCATCTGACTTACCAGGTCATGGACAGCAGTGCTATGGGCAGCAGGAGCCACCAGTAGTAGTCTCCCTTAGAGGAGAAGACGGCCATAAGTGATCCCACCAGGATCCCGTTGTATCCATACAGGCCGGCTGCTATGGCTGACCTGTGGGAAGGGAACAACAACTACCTTGAAATCTCCTCACCTGAGATGGCTTTGCTTGCATCACCCCCTCTCCCTCTATGCAGCTGTGACTTCGTGTGATGAAGACCTGCCACGACTCATCCACTGACGTTCAGTTTCGTACATTTGATCCTGTGTGCCCTCAGCAATTTTGGTAGTTATGTCCAACACCCCTTTGCAACAGGTGCAGCTGGTGGGAAGCTCTGTCTGGTCCTGCCAGGCCGGATACATGGCCAGTGAAGGCTGGATCATGCAATCATAGCAGGTTTGGGTTGGAAGGAACCTTAAAGATCACCAAGTTCCAACCCCCTGCCAGGGACAGGGACGCCTTCCACTACGTTCAGGCTTCTTATCCACATCACATGTTTAACATATAAGTCAGCACTGAAGTGATCTTTTGAGAGGGAAAAGGATGGACTTACCTGTCCTGACCCAGAATGAGTGCTGTTAAGGTGGAGACAACTGTGCCCAAACACGCTGTGAGTGCCCACCAAGGGTTCTGCAGCACAAAGCCAGCAAGGACGATCAGCCCACTCACGGGGTTGTTGACAAACATCACCTGGGATATCCCACGCAGCACCCAGTCAAAAAACTGGATCATGAGAGGTTTATCTGGAAGACATCAAAATAAAACATAAAACAAGCCCCCTAAGGTACACAGATGGTACTGATTTGGGATGTATTTTTGAAACTCAGGAAGAGTTCTGGCGGTGGGACTTGGCACCACGACTTGAAGCAATGAATCAATAAGACTGTAAAACCTGACTGGGATTTATTATGGTCTATACTGCAGCCTTACAGCTGGAAAACTGAGATGAACAGCGTGGTTGCCAGAACCCCATGTTATAAAGTACCCTGGACTGGATTCATATGAACCAGCTAATTTATGATGTCTGTGGCTCAGATGGCAAATCGTATGTGTATCCCACTGCTGATTTATTGAGGGGACCAAACGCACCTACCTATGTGTAATTTAACTTCACAGTGGCATTAGGCTTGACAGAAACTGCTCAGCTGAAAGGACATGGAGTGTTATGAAGAATGGCAGAGCCCGGAATAACCATCTGGGGTTATGTTCTGTGGGACTAAATTCCCTTTGTACATGGCTTGTTGGGAGGTAAATGTCATCTCAGACATCCTCAAGATTTAAGCAGTATGTGAATCTCTGCACAAAGCTGATTTTTTTTTTTTCACCCCTACAAAACAGATATAAATCTAAAGGCTAAAGGTAGTTTCTCTACTACTCTGACCTGAATCACATAGCTGAGAAGTTAGTTATTACTCCTTGGATGTACTTTTTATTTGGAATCCCCTAATTACTCATGATGAAGGAGCTTTACCTTTTAGCCAGGCTCCAAATTCCTTCATGTCTCCAGTGATGTACCCGACAGCTTTGCAGACTCTCTTCCCACCTTTGCTCAGTGGATTCTGCCTCATTGGCTTTCTTTCCCCCATGGTGTCTATCTTGACATCAACAATGTTTTCCATGTTGTTTTTCTGGCCCTTTGGTAAAATCTAAGGGAAAAAGAAAACAAAACAGTTTGTTTTAATGCCTCTTACTGGTTCCTGTTTATTCTCTCTACCGCGCATTTTTGCTCACCATGTGCTACTTTGGAGCCAGGAAGAGGAAAGTCCTTATTCTGAAAACCTGATTCTCATGTCTCCATGAACTTATGCTCTGTCCTCCCAGAATTCCATGCAGTCACAGATTTGAACACCACAGGGAATGTGTTTGTCATGGTGTTTCACCTGATTTTAACACTCTTCTCATCTATACCATGTTTTTCTAGAAATCAAGCAGCTCTTGATTTAAAGGGTGGTTTCAAAAAGAGCAAGACAGCATTAGAGGGCACTGGCTTCATAGAGGTTGAAGTTTACCTCAAGATTCAGCTTGACAGAGATCCACCCCACATAAAAGATGTTTCAGTTATTAGGTTTCCTCTGCTGCGTAACCTGTATTTGAATTTGTCCATCAGCCATCAATAAAAGGCACCTCAAGCTGGATTTATGGTTCTCTGTACTGTCACCTATTGGGATCAGTTCAGCATCCCTCACGGGCTTAGCCTGAGGGATGTCCATGGTGCCTTATTCCATTCCTCACATGCATTCTTACATTTCCCTTCTCAACAGAAATTCACTTTTAGCTGCCCATCTTTAGAAGTACCCAGCACTGATTCAAGACCCTAAAGGCCAAATTCACAGTGCTTGCCTTCCACTCTGCCTCAGTCACATTGCTTTGTTTTCTATCGAGCCAAAATAGAGGGACCACATTTTGGAAGCTGCAGTAAGCCCTAAGGGACTAATGAAAAGACACTTATTAAATTTGGCAGGTACTCTAAGAAGATTGAAACAAGGTAGGGGAGTGTTACAGGTCAAACAAAGGTGTTTGGGCCTAAATAAGACGTTTGGGGTATCCATGCAAGGCTGGCAGAGATGGGGTTCCCTATGGGACACACTCACTCTGGAGAAGGAGCTGTTGGAAAACCCTCTGGCACCTCATACAGCTCTAGACAGGCTTATTCAGGCTGTAAGTCTCTGGATCAGAGATTTATACCTAACTGTAAACACTGGATTTCAAAAGCAGTTTCCTATAGCCAAATTGTTATTTGTCTAAGAGCCAGTTCTCAATACGAAACCAGCAAATTAAAAACAGCCAAACCTTTCCCTGGAGTGTACTCTGTTTCCTGAAGAGTAGGACTAATTCTTGGTAATTATCAAGGCAAAGAAAACACAAGACAGCGTATGTTGTTGGGTGAATACAGAACTAGACCTGCTTCAGGCCTCACTGGTGGGTACTGGCCTGTGCAAAAAGGCAATTAATTTAGGTAGGGGGTCGATAGCCTAAATAGGATGATAGAAACACATAAACATTGAGTTAGTCCTTGACTCGCTTGAAACTTCAGTAAAAGCCTTCCTAGTAGCTCGGGTAGAGAATCCATACTTCAGAAACACAGGTGCTGGGCACTTAAGCTTGAGCAGCCTCACCCCTGGGCATTACACTTCCAGACCCAGGCTTGTGGTTAAGCAGCTCTGAGTCTGTGTAGGGGAATGGGTTGTTAATGCACATCCTGGCTAGTTCCTTACTGTGTGTTACAGGAGGACTGGTGGTCACCTTTCAGGATGCAGTAAATATCTGCACAAATAAGAAACAGACATTTTTTGGGCGTTCTAGAAGAGCCCAGCTAATATAAGGATAGGTTCCACATGAGAGGCTGATTTCAGGACTGGTATGCAGAAGGGTGTTGAATTTGACTTTGTGGAGGGCACAAGGGCAAGGACCTTAAATGAAAAGGTTAAGGAAGAAAAGGAGAAAGGAGTTTCAAGGGATGGTGTCTTGGTGCTGGAAGGCTTTTTTCCTGGCTCAGTTATAATTCATCACCTTGATTCATTAACCTTCGCTTTTCTCATTTTTTATTCTGAAATAATGGAATAAGTGAATTGGATGCACTTTCAGCTAAATCAAAATTTCCAGCCAAGATAAATGCTCCTCATTTGGTGAAAGTGCTTTTACATTTTCCATTTAAAGAATCTTCCTCTTTAGTTAGGCTTTCCCTTCTTGCTAACCCGCAAAGCCAAGTGCTGCTGCACTGCAGAGTGATGCTGTGTGACCCACGCCCAAGGTGTTTTCCCTGCATGCTGAATTGAGGACCTGGAGCAGGATGCTGCAGTGTGGGGGTGCAATGTGCATGTGAGGAAGTTTTGGGAGTCACTGACCCACTTGCACAGTGGAGAAATAAAAAAATAAAAAAAAAAGGATCAAGCTGAGGGCCCTAATTTGTCAAAAACTGATGTATTGCTTTGCCATATAAAGGCAGTTAAGTGCAAGCTGCAAGTCTGAGCCAGCAGGACTCCTTTGCTCTGGGTTCCCATGGGCAGGAATGAAGTCAGCTCAATGCACTTGGCATGGTAAAAACACCAGGTGACCTGGTGAGTCACTTCCACCAAGCTGTTTCCAACTTGATCCCCGATGAAGGCTGTGTCAGTACCCTGCATACCTGTCCTTCTAGAGTATCCAAAGTCCAAGGGACTGTGGGGTGATTCACAGTTACCCTCTGGCCAGCAGTGCTGGTCAAACTCCTGTTCACTATGTCACAGAATCATAGAATCATAGAGTACTTTGGGTTGAAAGAGACTTTTAAGTGTCATCTAGTCCAGGCCCCAGAAAGTCCCATACTGTCAAGGGATGTATCGCTCTGGAGAGGGATCAGGTGCCACCTTCCCTATCTGTTTAGTAGTGCACGCAGTGACAGGACAAGTGGGAATGGCTTCCCACTGACAGAGAGTAGGGTTAGATGGGATATAGGGGAAAAAATTCTTCCCTGTGAGGGTGGTAAGCCCCTCGCCCAGGTTGCCCAGAGAAGCTGTGGCTGGCCCATCCCTGGAAGTGTCCAAGGCCAGGCTTGGATGGGGCTCTGAGCAACCTGGAATAGTGGAAGGTGTGCCTGGCGGCAGGGGGTGGAATGAGATGATCTTTAAGCTCTCTTCCAACCCAAACCATTCCATGGTTATAGAAGGTGTCCCTGCCCATGGCAAGGTGGATTGAGACTATATGATCTTCAAGGTCCATTCCAACCCCTTAACATTGTCTGATTCTGTGACTGTTTACATGCTAAGGGAGAATGAAACCGTTATGGAACAATTTCCTCAGCTGCAGAGCAGCCTGGTGGGTAATGGGTAGGCCAGGAGGACCTTTGGTTTCTGGTGGGGTCTTCATTGAACTGTAAAGACCCAGATCCATCCCCATTGGTTTTGTGGTCTCCCTGAATCCCATTCCAGGCGCTGCCTCCTGTGTGGGGGTGTTTGGCTGTCACCACTGCCCTGAGGCTTGTCCCCTCTGTCCCAAACACAGAACATGGAGGACTTGCACTACTTCTACTTAGTTGTCCAATGAAAATATAAGGACACCACTTCAGAACTGGCACCAGCATAGAATTTTTCAGGCATTTTAAATAATTTTTGGACATTTTACAAAGCAGTACCTGCCACATAAGCTCAGATGAAAGATTTGTTAACATGTTACCTTGCTCTAGGGAGTAGGTGATAGCAGGTATTTGAGAAAGGAGAGAATACAAAAGTTGTCTTATCTCAGAATTAGAGAGATGTTCAGAGAATTTTAAGACAGTGATGTCTGAATGTTAATTTAAACTCAGGTGTGCACGTTCTGATGGGGATTGCATGAAGGCCAGACCGCAGCAGGTCTTTTGAAGATCTGCTATTGAAGTTATGATAACACGTGGTTTTCACCCAAAGTGCCTTTTTTTTTTTTTTTTCTTTTCCTTAGTGCACAAAGGAAGGAAATAGAAACAATTACAAAAGGAGCCCAGAGAAGGTGGGAACAAACTGCTTGGCTTCTACAGGGGGGTAGGTTTGGTAATTTTTTTTTTTTAATGTCATATTCTTAACAGAGGACTAAGTCCTGCCCTCAGATAGGTCGAAGCTGATGTGAGCTCCTGGTACTGGTGTGTAAGTGGTGAGATACAGGAGCTGCAGCAGGACCCACGCAGAGCCAGTCTGCATGTAATTTCCATCCCAGTGGTGCAAGGACTGATTTGTGCAGAGGAACTACTTAAAACTATATTTTCCACGGGAAGAGAGAGAGCTTCCCATGAAACAAAACAGAAGACAGGAAAGAAAGATGTTCCTCTTTCATGCAGATGAAAATCATCGCGGGGCCGGGTCGCTAACCTGCTGGGGATTTTTTTTTTTTTTTTTTTTTTTAACCACGTTTTCAGAGTTAATAAATGTCCTGCAACCAAAGCACTGACGTTATGCAACTTTGTGTCTCCCTAAATCAATTTCCCTTCCACTTGTGTACACTTCCTCCATGCCATGCCGTTCTGTGCCATCCCAGCGATGCCTCGTTAAAGCTGCGGCTGCGCTGGGGCTGCGCTCCTGCATCATCGGGGCCTGCAAATACCCCTTTATTCACCTGCTGAAGCTGAGAAAAACCCGGCCACACACAAGTTATGTGTTATGCATGGTCAGAAAGGTGTGATGCTTGCAGCTGGGAGAGGAATAGAGTCTTTAGTGTGGCTGATTAACACTCCCAGGTCATGGGCGCTTCCAAGCTGGTGCTGGATGCTGAGCTTTTTTTTTTTCTCCCCTCTGCAAATGCAGCAGTGTTACCTAGTACTTTCTCTTCTTTCCGGAATTTTCCTCTCTCCCTGCCAAAATTCGTGTTTCTCTCCGTAAATCGAGAGGGTTTTAAATTTGCGGCGTGGCGTTTGTTTGCCCAAGGACCTGCCACCGCACAATTGCGGCCATTGTATCTCTCTTGCATTCTCCAAATTGTTGCTGTGAAGTCTGCGGGGCAGCCAGCTCTCTGTGTGCAGCCTGTTTTTAGAGGAATTCCTGTGTCCAAATACAATAGGAGGAAAGGGCCGTATTCTCAGCAACTCCAGTTCCAGCACAGGCTTGTGTAATGTTACCAGGGGTTTAGTAAAGCTGGATTAGTGTTGTGCTGTGCATAGGAGCACAAGCATGCACAGGCACACTCCTCCAAACAGAGAGATTGTAATGCACTTGACCCTCACTGGGAAAAAAAAAAAACCAAACCCACAAACCTTCAGGTTTTCCCGTAGAAGATATATTTCAAAGTATTAGTTCAAAAGAAAGCTTATCCTTCAGATTCAAATATTCACTGAGCCCATCCGCAATTCAGTTTTCAGAGATCTGTCTCTCGGGGGCAGAGGAATACAGAGACATCAGCACATTAACTGCGTATTATTACTATCTGGGCATTTTTCAATTTGCAGAATAGAAAGGCAGTAAAAGATGTTAAAGAGTTCCAGTCATTTTATTTTTCTTTCCTTTTCTCTTTTTCCTCAAAAGTTCACCCAGCTGGGCTAAGCAGTACTAATAAATCCTCACCCTCTGAGAAGCTTCTCAATAATTGATATTGTGACATTCCCTGCTCCTGAGCCTTACCAGTTGTCCTTCAGCAGGACCGATCAAATGCTGTTTGTCAGGTGTTTTGAGGGAGAGGAGGGACCCAGGTAATTCAGTAACGGGGTGCATGTTTACTGCTGTGCATTAAAAGGAATGAACAGAGTGCTCTTACCTCTCTGATGAGCTCAGGGGTATCTGTTGCTTTGCTGAACAGGAAAGAAGGAAAGTAGTGAGAAAGAAAATGTCTCACCAGCTTATATAGGCTAGCATGGCTCCTGTCCTGACATTACTAATTAGTTTGTTTCTCCTCCCACTCTGTGAGCTCCAAGCGAATGTTAAGAAGGTTCCTCTTTGAATTCTCCACCTTTCCTCCTGCTCTGTCCTGGGTCTCTTGCCAACAGCCTCTCCAAACGTCCTCTTCCCCGCTGCTTTTTTTTTCCTTTGTATTTTTTTTTTGTTCTTAGTTCTCCTTTAACTCAGTCCTTTCTCCTCTCTACTGCTTAAAAGGACTGAAGGCTTTAAACTGGACTCTCAGTGTACCTGACCTCAACCTCCCCAGCATTATTCTCCTTACCCAACACAATTCAGCATCCTTCCCTCTCAAAACTCTGACTTGGAAATGTGCCTCACAGCACATTTTGTGTTCATCAACCTGTCAGAGTTTTCCTGTTTCTGAGTAGTTTTCAGAAGCATGATTCTGTTAACACAGTGCAGTGAAAGACCTGGTGACCTTCCATTTTTTAATGTTTTTTTAATTAACTATATGAGAATTTTTTTTTTTTTAACCTGTCCTCCCTTGCTCATTGGAGGAATCTGGAATATCAGAAGTGTGGCATATTCAAGAGGTTTATAAGGCTGTGAAAGTGTTGTGAAAGGCAGAGAAGGGGCTGGAGAGGGAAGTATTGAGAGAGTGAGTTACAGGAGAAAGGGCAGAAAGAAGCTACTGAAGTTAAGAAACCTGTCAGGCTAATTTAAGCCATGGTATAATTCACTTTGGGACTCTTTTACAGTAATGAGTTAGGGAGGCAATCCTGCAAATTCACCTGGGTGCTGGAGGGAATGGTTTATTGTTGAACCAGAACCCATCTGGCTTTGTGACTCCGCTTCCTCCAGCCCCACAGGAACAGCCTCAGCATCCACATGGTGTTATTCTCACCGTGACGGTTCCCAGAGTCCATCTCTTTTGATGGAGATGTTTTTAACAGTCAGCTGGACTTTTTTCTCCCCTAAGAGAGGGGCAGCTGACATAAGTTGTCAGTGATGCTGCGTGAGCAAGGCTTCCTCTGATCAGACAGGCACTAACCCTTGTGAGTGAGCCAGACACTGTCATCCTCTCACTTTGCAGCCAGCAGTACATATTACACAAAATTTTGCAGGGAGAGCTGCATCATACCAGTGCAGCAATTACTATTTATTTCTCCTCAGGTTGCCTTTGCTTTCTCGCTGGCAGAATGAATCCTTGCATCTCAAAAGAAGGGAAATTCACTGGGTAATTTGGATAGGAGAGCCTCATAGGGAGTGTGTTTGGGTTGAGTTTTAGGCATCACATGTCTCCTGTTTCAGGGATGCTCAGGCCTGGCTTCAAGTTACTTGAAACAGCTTCTTTTCAGCTCTTTGTCAATGGGTGCAGCACAGGGGACAGGCAGGATTTGCTGCTGTGCTGACTCCACCTGCAGAGCAGGTGGAGTGGTGGTTCTTTCCTCTGGGGAATCACAGAGTCGTGGAATGGTTTGGGTTGGAAGGGACCTTAAAGCTCATCCTGTAAAAACCCCTGCCATGACAGGGATGTGCAACCTTCCGCTAGAGCAGGTTGCTTCAAACAACCTTCCACCAGCCCAGGTCGCTCCAAGCCCTGTCCAACCTGGCCTTGGACACTTCCAGGGATGGGATGGCCACAGCTTCTCTGGGTAACCTGTGCCAGGGCCTTGGCCTGTCACCACATGTGCTCGTACAAAGGAACCAGATTTAGGACTGCTCTGTCTGATTCTGGTGCCTTAATGAGGTGTTTGACAGGTTGCGGTGACACATAGAAAAGCCACTGGCTGGCAGGTCAGTGATGGATATCTTGGAGAGATGCATTGTTCAGATTATCAGGGCTGGTTAATAAGTAACAGGATCACAGTCTGCTGATTCCTGCGTGGGAATGAGGTCCCTGGCATCAGCCTGCCCTGTGAGATAGAGGCAGAGCAATGGAGATCTCCGCTGCCATGTGACGGGCTCACTGGATCCTGGGTTCAGCCGGCTGCTGGAGGGTTTTATTCATGTACTAACTGCCTTAGGGAATCAATAAATTTCCAGAAATTTACCTTCTGGAAAGGTCCAGACGAGATCCCATCTTGAGTGCTGGAGTCAGGTGCATGAATGCGTGCCTGAAGCTCTGTGCCTCGGGCAGGAAAAGCACTCCTGGTTGCCTGAGGACTGAGATACCCTACAGGATCGATGTAGAAGGGTGGCAGTGATATAAAACCTCCCATTTATATCTCAATCCATGCCAGTTCAGGTGCTCATCACTTAACCTTCAGTGCTGGGCACACAAGGATGTAGGTGTCTCCTGTCATTTGGGATTCAAAGGTGGAAGGCCCAACCAGCAGTGCAAATCCTTTGCCAAAAGGATCAAGATGTGCCACGTGCCTGTTATGGAGCTGTCAGGTGTCACCTTCCTGGGAGTGGGCCACCAGCTCTGGGTGACGGTGTAATTAATGCAGGATGTGCAAACTGACCTTTCAGGGAACACTTACAGGTGAATAATGGGTTGCCTCTTGATTTTAGGCATCAGCGTGAAGACCACTGGGTGCTGAGGACAAGGCTGCTGGTGCTGGTGTCTGACAGCTGAGTTCTGTGTGGTTTAGGATGTCTGAATCTATGACTTGCCTCACCAGCTCTCTGCCAGCAGAGCTGGCTGATGTGTTTCTTCTGCACGCTGTGCTCTGTGGGAAGGTGGCTCAGAGAACACCCCTTGGACCAAGCCCAGCGCCTGACATGGTCAGAACAGGGGTTGGTCGTTGGATCTCGACCAGGCAGAGCACCTGAAGAATGCCTGAATGATCCCTGACTGGTTTAGCTCGCCAGGCAGGAGCTGTCTGGTTGGATTAGCTGGGTACAGTGCCTGAACAGGTCAGCTGTGCCAGGAAAGACTCTTAAGGGCCCTAATCCAGCTTCACACGCTCTGGCTTCACGCCTTCTCTCAAGGCTCAGTGGCCTTCAAGAAGAGGTGCACTGAAACCCACTTGGTAGCAGATTGCCTTTTACTGCTGGTTTTGGCTGTGCTCAGGTTGTACTGCAGGGATTAGGTCTGCACTGGGAGCCACATCAGCTCTTGGATTCCAACAAGTGCTTTAGTAAATCCTCCCATGGAGCTCTCTGCAGATTGCTAAAACTCAAGCCCTGGTCTACCTTTGCCGGGTTAGGCTGTGGAAATGTGATATGTGTACGATGTTTGTGGGCTCCTTGCCATCCCATTTTGGTGGTCCTTTGCTGGATGTGCTGGGTATGACCCTGCCCTTTGCTGAGAAGCTCCAAGAGTGGACATTACACACTAGATATGTCTCACCAGTGCCGAGTAAAAGGGAAGGATCACCTCCCTTGATATGCTGATGTTTCTCCTAATGAAGCCGAAGAAGCTGTTGGCTTCCTTGCTGCAAGGACACACTGCTGGACTGTGGTCACCTTGGTGATCACCAGGGCCCCCCAGGGCCTTTTCTGCCATGATAATTTCCAGCTGGATGGCCTCAGTCATGTGCTGCTGCATGGAATTGTTCCTCCTCAGATTTGGAACTTCGCACTTCTCTTTCCCGAACTTCATCAGGTCCTTGTCAGCTGATTTTTCCAGCTTGCTGAGGTCCCTCTGGATGGCAATAGAACCCTCTAATGTACCCAGCACTCCTCCCAGTGTTATACCTGCCCCAAATTTGGCAAGGATGCACTCTGCTCCAACCCCCTGGGTTAAACTTATTAGCCCTGGGTTACAGCACTAGTGACTGGCCTCTACCTGTAATTCGTGTCACTGATTATAACCCTTTGAGCCCAACCATTCAGCCAGTTTTCAATCCAACTTTCTATCCACTTATCCAGCTTGTACTCCATTAACTTGTCCATGAGGATGTTATGGGAGAGAGTGTCAGAACCAGGTGATGCTCCAAAATTGCACTGGTAAGATAAGAAACCTTTGAAGCCCACCTAGTGTAGACTCTTGTTGTAAGACTTGTTGTAGGACCCAACCCAACCAGTTCAATTCCAGAATTTTTCACAGTCTGTGGTTCCTCTGGAGGTGTGTGGAGAGGTGGCAGTGGTAATGGAGGTATGGCAGGAGTGTGAGATAACCACAGGGTATACTGAGGGAGAGTGATGCTCACCACGTGCTGGCTAAGGAGACAGCTCCTCTGGCCAGAAGGGATTGACCTGTGTGACCTCCAGGGTGCCTGGAGGAATAAGTCTGTCCTGATCAACATCTGCGGCCATCTCGCTTTTCATCATCTTGTTTTTATGAGTGAAATGCAGAGTGGAAAAATCTGCTTCAGCACAGAGCACAGTGGGGTCTGTCACAGCCTTGTCCTTGACGGCTGAGGGAAATACTTTTGGGTTTACACGGTGTAGGCAGCTTCTATCCCTGCATTTTGGCCTGCAAAAAGCTGCTGTTTGACATTCCTCTGTGTGACAGTGGGGTGGGAGGGGATGGCTGGAGCAAGGCACTCTCTGCTCTGGTGTCCGTCTCCCTCTCGTGGTGTGTCTCCAGCACAGCCACGTGTGCAACCATGCAAATCACAGCAAATACTTATGTCTCCATTTTCAGAGGGCTCCCTGGCCCTGCCACAGTTCAAACCCACCAGGCTCTGGGCTTGTGTACTGCTCTGTGTACTGCTGATGGTGTGTTCTCCCAAAATTAACAGTTCTCCTGATGCATCACTTCCCTCCTCTGCCTACCTGCTCTGGAGACCCACTGACCTTTCTATCCATCTTGGTATGCTCTCATGACTCACCTACTCAGTCTATGCAGCTCCAAGGGTGCAAAAGTGAAATCTGGAAACCAGCTTATTGATTAAAAGCAACAGTCCCTGTCTCCTGGGATAGGAGTGGGGCAGGAGTTGGTAGAGTGTGTTGTAGATGTTTCACAGCCAGAGTAGGGTGTAAAAAAAGCTCTCTACTCTCATGGCAAATAGATGCCAACTTTTGGCAGAGGTTCAGGCTCCTTTCCTGCAGGCTGATGCTCTGAGCACAGGAGTGCTGGGGTAGCAAACAACACATCTATTTCAGCTGTGAAAAAAAAATAAAAAAATCTATATTCAGGTTTTTCAAGGTGTTTGTTCAAAACTCTGTTGCCAGGCCAACATGGGGTGGTTCAGCATCTAAGAGATGAGGACCTGCCACCTTGCATCACTCCATTCACCAGTGTAGAGGTGCCCATGGTGTCCAGCTTAAGAAATGTCTCTGAGACCCCAGGAGAGAGACAAGGTAGTCATATCTCTCATGAAACCCAGTGAAATACAGGTCAAAGAAAAGCCAAGTTCCTTCTTCTGGCTGGCTCCCCTTGTCTGGTTTCGTGTTCCCAGTCCTCTTTCCAGGCAGCCCTATCGCTTTGCTTGTCAGCAATGGGCATTTCTCTAAGCTGGCCTGGATACCTGTGGAAGGGACACTGAGCTGGAAGCATCTATGATACCTGATTGGAAATCATTCTTCACCCCTACCACGATCCCAACTCCAATTGCTCACTGTGGCACACTGGCTCCCAAGAGAAGATAATATTCACTTGGGTTGGAAGACACTGGCCTCTTGTTTGGTCACCTTCTGATCCTCTCTTCTCTCCCTGCCCTGTGAATCTGTTCTGCAGGATGCCTGGTGCTTGGCATTATCCTTTTCTCTTCTTTGCCCTGTGTAGGGGTTAAGAGCAGGTCTGCTGGCTCCCTGGAAGAGGAGATCAGCTTGGGAAACCTTCCAGTGTGGCCTTGAAGATGAGTAAGTTTTACACACAGGCTGACTGGGGAGCAAGGGTGGACTGTGAGTCCGTAGATTTGGTGAGTGAGAACCACAGCCTTATCCTTGGACATCTCCAGGTGTCTCAGCAATTGCTGCCAAGTGTACCAGTAATGATGAGCAGCTAATTAGGATGTTGCTACTTGCTTGCTGCTTGTTTGGTGCTTTTTGAAAATGATATAAAAGGAGCTGGGATTTAATAAAAAAAAAAAAAAAAAAAAAGAGATAACTGATAAAAAAGGAGATAACTGAATCCAACCGCTACCTTGAAACAACCTGATATGCTAGAGGGTTTTGGAAGCCCTCTCCTTTTCTCCTGGCTCCAGGGAAATACCCAAATCCAAAGGGGTTCTTTTACCAAACCTGCCTCAAGGCAGCAGGATTCCCATAAGAATGACAAAGCTGGCCAGACTTGCCTCACTTCTGTGGCACAAGGCAAGGTGTTTTTTCTGCTTTTGCATTCACTTTTGCATTTTCAGAGTCAATTCCCTCAACTTCCCTGCATCTGTTCTAAGCTTAAAAAGGTTTCCTGTCCTTTCTGCATCCCTTGGCCCTGATGGTAGGCTTGTGACTCTCACCCAGGGCCTGCCTGCTCTTGAGGAAATAATCCATTCTCACAAGCCTATACATTGTAGGAGATGAATGCCTTAGGCCTTAACAGAGAGCAGAATGCTATAATACTTCCAACAAGAAGCTCTTTCAGCCTGTAAATCCCAGTGATTACTATTTTCTTGCCAAGTAGTTCTTAACAGAAGTGGCAGATGCTGTACATAAGCACGGGTTGCAGATCTTATCAACGAGAGAAAGAGGACTGCTGGCATCCAGAGATGTACCATCAAACAGTGGAAAAAACTGAAAATGAATAGTTGAAATTACTTATTGAAAATAATAGGATAGAGGAAAAATTTCAGTGGCTGTGGATGATTATGGGATTTTGCAAGCAATACCACAGAGCAACATTTTCATGCACATGCACGCCCAGGCATAAATCCATTTACAGTAAAGATGCTCATTTTGCAGTTGACAAAAGAAAAAAAAAGTCGTATGTGTAGGATAACAAAATTTCTGGGAAAACAAAATGGCCTAAATGTGATTTAATTTGCACAAGTGAAATGAACTCACTTGACTACAGTAAGAAACCATTGTTGGCTGACAGTTTGTCATCACCTTTGCCTTTTTGGTTTTCTCCACAGCCAGGAAGTCTCTGCCTGATTTCTGGCTGAGCGGTTTTGCAGAGCAGAGGCTTGTGGATGACAGAGCAACAGAGCCGTCAGCACTTAGCTGAAATGAGGGAAGTGTGGAGAAGCAGGGTCAGGTGCAGGCTGGGGTGTGCAGGGGAAAGAAGACTCCAGATCATCCTAAGTTATGCAGGTCAAGGATGTCTCTGTCTCTCTGTTGCTTTTTGCAATTCAGTGCACAGCACTGTTTATCTTGCAGATGCTGAGACGTGCTAAGCAGCCTGAAAACCTCTGCATTTTGATGTGGCTGGATGTTTTTTGGAAGGGCTTCTGCACCTTCTTGGTGCTTCAACCCCACTGTGCTGTGTGAAGCTGCACATTTTGTCTGGGAGCAGGGATTTGGGTCTGCCTCAACTGCCTATGCAAAGGGCTGTCCCTGGAGAAGGATGTGAGGATGCAGTTCCGTGAGAGCTTGAGCTACTTAAATTCACTGAGGTAACTGGGTGTGCTCAGGAGCTGCTGAGCGAGCAGTAAAAGGTTCCCAAACTTGTTCCCAGGCAAAAAAGTGGTGGAAGAAACCTTTGCTTCCCACAGAGCTATCCCAGGTCTTCTTACCCTACCCCACCCCTGGGATGTGTGAATTCCAGCTGTGGCAACAGCTGTAGGAGCCTGTAAAAAACCCCCCGAGAACTGTAAAATCAACTGCAACCAAGGGCTTGTTTCCTGTTTGAACTCCTTCCATCTTCCAAATTAAAACTGTCGTAGGGGAAGTGAGGGGATAATGTTCACCAAATAGGTCTCACCCTGCGAGTGGTGGTATTTCTGTAACCCTGGTAAAAGTGATCTACAAGAAAACCTGGGTCGGTCTGCAGTGTTGGTCAGCGTGTCTGTTGTTGCAGACTGGAGATATCTGGCACGGACAGAGCACAGAGCAACTTCCCAGCACCTGGAAATTTTAGGGAATTGTCTTATTCAGATAAATTTTAGAGTGTTAGTTTTGTGTGGTTGTGTGTTTTTGTTTTTTTTTTTTTTTTTAATCCAACTTGTAATGAGGCCCTGTGTTGCTGGAGTGCCCCTCTGGAAACATTTTAGATTCAATATTAGAAAGAAATTCATTATGGAAAGGGTTGTCCAACCCTGGCATAGGCTGCCCAGGGCTGTGGAGGAGTCCCCATCCCTGGAGGGATTTGAAACCCAGTTAGATGTGGCACTTGGGCATGTGGGTTGGTGGTCACCTTGGCAGTGCTGGGAGAATTGTGACGATCTTAGAGGGCTTTTCCAGTCTAAATGATTTTGTGAATCGGGATGGAAACATAATGCTCCAGCAAACAGGTTGTTCCAGTGAGGAGCCAAGCTTTCTCTGTGTGAGTTCTGAGACTGATCTTGTCACCAGAAGCACCTATGGGTAAGAGAGAAGAACTGTGATCCTCCTCTCAAAGCGAAAACAACATTTTTTAAATTTTTTTTTTTTTTTTTTTTTTTTTTTTTTTTTGAGCACTAAAGTAAGCATTTTTCTTAGAACCACATAGCATATGTACTGCATTTACACTGGACTCGAGTTATAACAGATTTGTCTTCTCTGTCCCCGGGGGAGCTCTCCTGCAATTCCTTCACGTTTATTAGTCTGCTCACACCTGCCTCTGCTTTTTAATTTTTGAAGGCAAATTTTCAGGGGGGCTGGTTTTGTGTATGCTACTGCCAGTCCAGGTGTTAGTTTGTACAGGAGCATTTAATTTTCTTGGGGGGGTGAGCTGGATGGAGTGACCACTCCAGCTACAGAAGAGGCTTTTATTTTTTATTTAATGGGCCTACTTGTTTTATGTTAGCTCTCTGGGAACTGTCTCAAAATTATTAGTCTCCCCAAAGAATGTACATTTTATTTCTCTTAATGAAAAATTTTGTAGAACTCAATAGGTAGCAGGCTGCTGGGCTACCGTGGATAACTTCAGTTAGTGCTTTTATTGTCTGCTGCTGCCTTACAGGGGACACTTGATTTGTCTTGCCTGTTTTCAAGAATTATTAGTACTGGCTACAGTTACTCAAATCTTTTGATTAGCTAGAGACTTAATAAAGCTGTTTATACCCTATTTTTTATGGAAGACTTCAACCCTAGAAATTGCTTCACTAATTGATTTCAGGATGGATTTGCTTCTGGCTGAGGAATTAATGCCTGCAGTGGCACTTACATGACAAATTCTTTCCAATAACCAATATTGTGCTTGGACTTCACTCTTATTTTTAAGGAAACAAGTAATATGCCGGGCATAACTAACCAGAGTTGAGTTTTTTTCTTCAAAAATATGATTCTAGAAGTATTTTACAGTATTTTTGCTGACTCTGTGTTGCCGCTATTCAAATCTTTCTCTGATGCTTCACTGTGCATGAGCTAAATTAAACTGTGCAGAGCAGATGCCTAGATATAAGAAAGAACTGTTTTTTGATGAGAGTGATGAGGCCTGACCCTTTGTTTCTCTACAGCAGCAGAAACACGAGGATAACCCCTGATCTTGCAGCTTGTTGTGACCATACCAGACTGACCCATTGCTTTGGTGGCATCCTGGCTCAAAGGGTGTCTTGGCAGAGAGGGGAAGGAGGCTTAAATTTTACCACAGTCCCTGGAATGGTCTCACCTGTTCAAAAAGCACCTGGACATAAATCAGGCTATGGTTTTGTTCATGGGGTTGAATTGCAACTTGGATGCTGCTTCTGAGGGGACATTTAGAGGGGCTGGCAGATGCTGTTGCTGCTGCTTTTTGGTGATAAAGGCACAACTAGTCCTATGACAAGCACCCGGGATAATGTTTTTAAAAAAGTGAGGTTTGGAGTTGGGATCCCACTTTCTCAAAGACACCCCAATGGATGTCCAAAACAACCCCACATCACGAGGCAGAGAGGACAACGCCTGATCTGAATGTTTGTGGTTGCACAGCCTCTTTGGATTTCAAATTTTCACGTCCCTTGGGTGTGCGATTTTAAACTGATTGTTTAAAACAACCTTAGAATGAGGAAGCCTTTTCTGGCAGGCTTCCTCTGCAGAGGTTTTGGAAAAGGTTCCCAAGAAAAGCCCTCCTTAGGGCAGCTGGTGCTCTCCTGTTTTAAGGAGGAGGCATAAACTGGCAGTGTCGAGACACTGAAGATGCATGTGAAGACCACGGTCTGACACCCAGCAAACATCAAGGGGAACCTCTGACTTGTTAATTTCTCATGGCTTAATGGAAAGGATCTGCTCCCACAGGAAAGGGAGAGAATGAACTGCAGGAACTGCCCCCAGCAGTAACTGTTCATCTCACTTTTTGTATGGAGTTTTCCTATTTCCCACTAGATGCATGTTGGGATTCCGTCTTGCTGTCCTGCAATCAGCAGGAAAGAGATCTATTTGTAAGAAGGAAAATTATTCAAGGAAAAGAAGAATGTTTGATCATTTCTAGCTAGTCTGATTTTCCAGTCTGATTAAAGCATATGTATTCATATCTTCACTTAACAAGGAGCCAGGAGGTGGCACCAAAAATGCTGTGCAAGCTGTAAGAATATTTACTTGTGTGTGTTGCAGCTCTTAAGAGGTACTAAAAGGGTTAGACATTGATGGGACACAAGAGAGGAAGAGATCAGTCTGTTTATTCCACTTTCAAATACACATGTTCTTAATTTGAAGTGCAGCTCTTGACGTAGTTCTTACATTATTTATTATTATTACACACCAATGCCTTCTCAGCATACTTACTTTGTTAAATTACACCTCTGAAATTAAATGCAGCCTCCTGTCATCTTTAATGTTCTTCTGCCTATTCTTATAATTATTATTGATAAGAGGTGACTTTCAAGTTAACAACATGTGGATTGATAAGGCAGCTGTTATTATGTTACCTGAGTGCTTTTTGGAAAGCTCAGCTCAAGGGCAAAACCGTGTTTCCTCTGGAATGTGGAATGCTGAATCCCCAGCCTGCAGACCGCTGGCAAAGGTGGTGTTTGTGGCTGTGCTGTGGGCTTGGATGACATTTGGAAAGCTGCCCCAAAACTGTGCAAGTTGTGGATACGTGGGAATCAGTGAGCGTGGCGGTTCTTGGGGGTGCACAGGGGGGTGACTCCTGTGCTTATTTTTGAGTCGTGGGGGGGTTTCTGCTCCTTCCGCTTCTGCTCCTCCCTCCTGATCTCCGAGGCCCTTCTCCTCATCCTCAGGTAGTAGATCCTGTTGGCTTCAGGGTAGGTGACTTTGGAGAGGGGGATTTTGTAGATGGCTGGGTTTTCTGAGTTGATCAGCAGGAAGAGGAGTGCGGAGAAACAAAAAGGCCAGGTGCAGACTGGCAGCCCGAGCTGGGAGGGGGAGAGAAAACAGACAGAGAGGTGATTTTGGTACTGCTTTTTGCTTGTCCCCTCCGCTTATGTCTGCCTGTGGCTGAATTCTTGCATTGAGGAGCTGGGAGAGCCTGTGCTCTCTCTGAGCACAGGGTGTAAATAGGATATGTCTTCCTGAACCCCCCATGTGCAGAGTCCTCCTGTCTGGATCCAGAGATGCAGCTGGTGGGGGCTACATGTGATCAAGGATCTTTCTGCTCACTGAAGAGTCTGGGAGGCTCCTCTGCTACCAAATGTCAATTCAGCTGCTCGCACAGAGGTGTCTAATTCATCTGAAGTGTGTGGGGCTACACAAAGCACCCGACGCTGGAGACCTCAGCCCTTTTGGAGGTGCAGCTCTTGGTGCTGGATGGCACCTTACACCAATACTGAAGCAACTGAATCAGGCTCCAGAGGTCTGATGACTGCAATGAAAGCCAAGGCACCTAGCTCACTGGTGGACATTTAAATTCTCTAATAAAAGGGCCAAATTCTACCCTCTCTGCTCTGTAAAATGTCCTGTAGTGAGAGTGTTATTAACTCATCCTCCTCAACAACTGTGTGTCACTGGCATTACATCCGACCCCCAATCCTTCTCTGTTTCCCCACCTCTTGACCTGACCTGAGGTCTGCCAAAAAGGAGATCACAGGGAGAAAAAGTGGATGTTCTTTTTCCTGATGCATCCCAAAAGAAGGTGTGCTTAAAGCAGCCCATCTGCAGGGACCTACATGGTACTGAGTGGGTGCCAGATGAATACATTTAATTCATGAAGCTGCAAGTTTTATTCTTTCTTTTCTTTTAAGTTAGTAAATCAATTTTATTAAAATATGGTTTTGCTTTAATCCCTCAGATCCTAAAGAAGAAACAAAGCCTGGCATTTCTGGCTTCACCCCTTTCTTGATTTGTCCAAATACAATAACTTTGTACTTAAGAGAACAGTCTCTCCCTCATTTTAGTTCTTACATCCAGTTCAAACTTTAATAATATCTGTGGGTGTAGCTGGAGAAAGACCTTGGAAGAAGAAAGTGAAAATTTAGACCACTGGGAATTGCTAAAAGATATTGTTCAACTAAGCGTTTAATCTCAAGCCATATGCTCTTCCTGGAACTCACATACACATGCACAGCCCTGCTGTGGATAACATGCTACAAAGGTCTTTGAAATCTTATTATCAGCTATAGAGTCTCCAAGGGCACAATTCAACTGACCCAGAGTTTGTACGAGACCTGTCACTGGCTGCAGCATTCTCATTTCAGTGCTGTCAAAGGTGACACGGAGAATTCTGAGGGATTTCCTCAGCATTATATCATAAAAAAACAAAAACATGGTTAAAACAAACAAATAACACCCCTTCCTCCCCCCCCAGTTTTAAAACAAGGACCCAAACTTACCACAGAGAGAGCGTTAGCAAGGGCTGCTCCAGAGTAGGCACAAAATAATGCTGAGAAAAGAAGACCAAAGAGAGCTCAGGATGAGGAAAATATTGTTTAAGTCTCCAAAGAAATTATCAATCACAAGCAGTAGTACTGTCAAAATGCACAGCAAAATATCCTGTCAGCTACCTGGTGTGAGGATTGGTGCTATAATTCAACAATCAGTTGAAATGTCCCAATGTTGCGGTCTCTTCTCCCAGGTAACAAGTGGTAGGACAGGAGGAAACGGCCTCAAGATGCACCAGGGAGAGGTTTAGATTGGATATTTGGGAAACTTTCTTCTTAGAAAGGGCTGTCCAGCCCTGGGCCAGCTGCCTAGGGCAGTGGTGGAGTCCCCATCCCTGGAGAGATTTAAAAGCTGTGTGGATGTGGCACTTGGGGACATGGGTGAGTGGTGAGCTTGGCAGTGCTGGGGGAATGGTTGGACTCAGTGATCCTAAAGGGAGGTCTCAACCCAAACAATTCTGTGACTACATTTCATCCTCTCTGCTCTGGAGAGATGGATGGTAAATGAAGAACTCAGTTTTGCCATCACTTTGCAAGTGATGGTGGCCTTTCTTTTATCTTTAATTACTTTTTTATTTGACATGACTTGGCCCTTATGCAGAGGGAATTGCAGAAATTCTCCAGAAGTGTGGGACTGCAGAAGTTCTCTGTCCTGTGCCTTCACACCACAGGCAGTCAGCAGTGGTCTCCTTGTCATCGTGTGCCAGAGGTGTGAAAACAGCAGCAAAGGTCAGGCAACCAAGGACTAAGTCAAGGAGGGAAAAGCTACTGACCAATCTAGAAACAGTGCTCAGCCCAGAAAACTACTGAAATGAAGATAATTGGAGGCTGGGTGAATCTAAGGAATTCCTTAAATGGGAAAGTTCTTTTATTAAGTTCTTCCCACAGTCCTGGTTTTGGCTGCTGTTGGAGGTGGGGTGCTCATGCAGATGGATTTTAAACTGACCTTGTGCAAGAGCCCTCTTCTTACGAACCACTTCCTCTGACGATACCTACAGTTATGAAAAGGCTGATTTTGTGAATCTGTTGTGGAATAGCTTGTGTTCCTTTCACAAATGGTATTTCCACCCTTTCCAGATGTTTCCACGTTATCAGGGTCTAATGCTGTTCTCTGTGTACTCTCACTTGCACATTCAGGCTCAACACTGGTGCCACCAGAGAAACAGCTCTTGCATGGAACCTGCGTTTGGTGGCTGACCCTAAACCTGCACTACTCGTAGACTGCCTGGCTGCACAAATTTTTGGTTTATGTAAGATGTACTTACCACAGGCCAGTGACAGCAGGTGTGTCTGCCAGGTCAGGGCGTAGAACATGCCCCCGATTGCGATGCAGGCCAGCGCGCAGTTGTAGTTGTGTAAGCCAAGGTAGATGCTGTCAAATGGGGATGCAATGCTCAGTGCTGCAAGACAAAAGGCAAGGCTGGGAGGTCAGGTGTGAGAGGTACCTGCATGAGGACCTGTCCCTTGCTGAGAATCCGTCGTCTCTCCCCTCTGATGTCTAGATGGACTTATCTGTGCTTGCATTTGCATGATACGCACAGGCAGAAAAAGGAAGCTCATTATCTTGGAGCCCTGATAGTGTCCCTAGGGTTGGAATCTGGCCCAGTCTCAAAGTTTCATTTAGGCAAAGACTTTCTGTGCATGCACTGAGTGTGTTGCAGTTGGTCCCCCAGATGAGGGGGTGGAGGGTCCAGCTAGGAGAACTTTGTCCCCTGGGTGTCCTCCTTTGCAGAAAGCTGTGCTCACACATGCTGCTTAAACCTCATACATACCCTGATCTTGGATATCAGAGACGCAACTGCATGTCTTTTGTGGGAGTAAGCAGGGTTTGCATCTCTTAGAGATGGTCACTTCATCAGTGCTGCGGAAGTTCTCCACAGGGGCGGGAGCTGAGGATCTGCTCCAGATCTGACCTCACAGAAACTTTTGCGGGATTCTTCACGTTGTCTAACTTCAAAGGTGATGTTCATGTCTCTTAACTTAATATGGTCTCTCTGGTTTGTGGAGACACAGGCCACTTTTGGTAGCATTCATGTAGCTATTTTTACAAATCCACAGCGGGACAGAGCAAACTGCACCTAGAAAAGGATTCTTCTTTTCCTGGGCTGATCAGCTCTGAGGCAGACATCTGCTTATGGTGGTAATTTAAAACAATTGTGGTGGCAAGAGATCAGCTCTGAAACTCTTTTTCTGGGTTTCTTTAAAGATCATCTCCATGGGATTCACCACACCCAGTGGTTGGAGGGTTAAGCAAGGTGGAACAAACCACCTGCCTGAGTTACAAATCTATTAACAAATTCAAAGCTCAAAGAAAACCCTGTTCTGTTCTTGCCTTCACTCTGTTCTGTGACCTTCAGTAAGAGCTTCCAAATTTAGAGACAGTTGAAAAATGAGAGTGTTGCCCCAATTACCTATGAGCACAGATAGTTGTGAAGCCTGGACAGAGTCGTGTAATGGCTTGGGTCAAGATATCTTGGTGGTGAAGATTACCTTGGTGAATATTTCTTACCTGCAAACATCCCCACTGTCGATCCAATTGCAGCATGTAAACAAATCAGTGGGGAGGAGATAAGCAAAGCCACAAGGAAAATGCCTCCAGTCCAGGGGTTTCCACAACCATACACTTGACCAACCCCAACTGGGATGGATTGTAGGAGCTGCAGCAGATGGTAGAAAAAGGCATGTTATTGTCTCTCTGTACCCTGAATGACACAGCAGTTATTTTTTCCAAGATACTGGCTGAACTGGAAAGGAAGGAACCCTGGCCCTGAGTTGGACTGTGAGTAAATCATGAAGTCATGGCATAGTTTGGGTTGGAAGGGAGCTTAAAGATAATTTCATTCCAATCCCTTGCTATGGGCAGGGAGACCTTCCACTATCCCAAGCTGCTCCAAGCCCTGTTCAGTCTGACCTTGAACACCTCCAGGGATTCACCAGTCTCCCAGTCGAGCATTTATTTCTAATACCTGATCTAAACCTACTCTCTTTAAGTGTGAAGTCATTGCCCCTTGTCCTGTCGCCACCTGTTCTTGTTCAAAGTCCCTCTCCATCTTCCTTGTAGGCTCCCTTCAGGTACTGGAAGGCCACAATTAGGTGACCCTCAAAGCCTTCCTTTCTCCAGGCTGAACAATCCCAGTTCTTTCACAGCCTGTTCTTGTACAAGAGCTGCTCATCCTTCTAATTAAATAGGTGTCTCTCCTCTAGACTCGCTCCAGTGTCCATGTCCTTCCTGTGTTGTTCCCAGGGCTGGAGGCAGCTCTGCAGGGGGGTCTCAGCTGAGGGGGCAGAGGGGCAGAATCCCCCCCTCCCCTGCTGCCCACGCTGTGGGATCAGCCCAGGGCAGGGGGATTTCTGGGCTGGGCCATGTCCAGTCTCTCACCCACCACCACCCCAAGTCCTTCTCCCCAGGGCTGCTGCTGTTGATTGCTACCCTCTGGGTCAGTTAACCCTTGTGCTGTTTTGGGAAGGTGACCCTCCAGATCTAGACCTAGACCTGGGTACAAATGAGTTTCTGTCACTTTGGAATCCTGACGTTTCCTCTGAATTTTCGTGTTGCCACTTACTGTCTTGCTGACGTCCTGTTAACCCAAACTGGACAGGAGGAGGGAGGGCCTGTCCACGTGTGATCCTGCACTGACAGCACGTGAGAGGCTTGTTTTGGGGCAGTCCAAGTTTAGGTGGAGTGAAAGGCTCAGGATCTCTATTCCCACCAGCCTTTCTGCTGGATCAGCCAGGACTGTGCCTGGGGATTTTATGGCACTGCTCTCTTTGCACTGAATGATGTTTCTGTGAGTTGTCCTGGCTGTACGTACCGTAGTCATTCTGACCCACGTGAAAGTGTCATCCAGAGATAAATAAATTCATGCTGACCTTTCTGTGAAATATCATGAATCTGTTGGTGGGAAGCTTACCAATGGCACACTGATGGCAGACCAGGTGATGTTGGGCACTGCAGCCACAGGCTTGATGAGGGTTGTGGGGAAGAAGGGGTTGTAGTGCCCTGTGGCTGCCAAGTAGAGAGTCACCGCAATATTGAAGGGCAGAGTGAAAACAGGAAGGTCCCATTTACTGAAGATGGATCCCAAAGCACTGGATAGGACTGGGCTGAGAACAGGAGAAGGGACATGAATATAACTTTTTCATGACAATTATAGTGGTGGAACATTTAGAAACATCAGGTAGTGAATATCTCAGTATGTTAGTCTGCATCAGACAAAGAGTCTCAGAATGCTGTTCATCTTTCTGAAGAAACTATCTAATCCATTCATGGATGGTGCAGATTCCACACCCTTCTCTCAGGACAGCTACTCTGGTAGCTAAGCTGAGCTCAGGGAATCAGCAAAGAAATGCGTCTAATACAGCATTTAGGCATGGATGGCGACAGGCAATCTGACTTCTTGTCCAGGAGATAATTTCAACAAGAAACAGAAGAGCAAATTCTAGGAATGCTTTGTGAAAAACTGTGGAGCACTTTAGATGGTCTAAAAAAGCTGTCTCAAGAAGGCAAGAGGGAGCTGGAAATTACCTAATCTGCCTTTTTTGTTTGTTGGTTTGTTTGTTTTGTTTTTGTTTAAACAGTGTGAAGGATATCAGAAGGCGGCTCTGGAAGAGAAATAAAGCAGAGGAGGTGATAAAGGAGGGTAGAAAATCTTCCACTAAGGAACACAGAAATATTTGTTATGTTAGACACTGTTTTTTGGGAAATGAGAAGTCCTTAGGACTCCTCAGAGTCTTACAGAGAGTGTAAGATGAAGCCACTAGTGTAACAGAACTGTGAAATGTGTTGGTGCCAGACATCACCCAGACCTTGACTGATGTTTGAGGGTATGTCAAAGACTGTGATGTTACTTTGTGCTGCCCAGGTATCATCCAAAATCACATGGAATTTTCTGAAAACAGATTCGTCTTTAAAAAAAAAGATTGATTGAATATATTTAAAGCGTGTGGGTTGACCCTCAACATATTATGGGCAGAACACTAAAAAGCATTCAAACCTTGAAATGCCGTGACCTTTTCCAGAGTTCTTGTCTGTAGAACCTGGAATGAAAACTTTGCCAGATCTCAGGATTGTTTTCAGGACTGCCGGATTTCCACTTGAAGTGTGTGTCCTACATGAAGGACTTTATGGGAGCGTATTGGCAAGGTAATACATGATATTTATGGGGCCCAGAAATCTTGTGGAAGAGAGCAAGTGGCCAGGTCCTGTCCTTGATGGAAATGGCCTGTGTTCTGCTGCTTTTAGTTGAGCTTCTCTGATAAAAGTGAGTTGAATTACTCTTATGGTCCACTCCAAGCAGAAGAGGACATTGCACAGTTCGCAAAAAAATCAATTTAAAGACTTAATTTTTTCAAGAAATGGTATTTGAG